TAGCTTTCTACATGCTACGTTAGCGATCCTGCTAGCAGCTAATGATGCATGGTTTGAACTGAAATGTGCCAGCTCTGACATCCAATCCAATCCAGTTTTTCGAGTCAGGACTGAACTGAGCTCACGACTGGACTCCATTAGATTGGATTGGTGCATTGCTACTTGGTGGCACATGATAAATTTGCAAAGTAGTGATTAATTTTCCTTCCATAACTCAAAAATATCACAAAAACAAAATATCTTCTTAATAAAAAACTTTCCACAGACAAGTCTATTACTTAAGAAATGGTTAGTAGATGGAGTACCAGTGCCTTTTCCCTGAATTATTTTACTACCAAAGATATGTGACAGCCTTTTCACTGTCTGTTCTTGAACTAATAAATCTCACATGAAAATAAACGAACAGAGCGGAGAGAGGAGCAAAGGCTTTTTAAAACATTTATTTACAACCTAAGTACACATGACTAATTTTTTAACCATTAAATAAAAAGGAACAAAGCAGTCAATCACGAAGAGAAAGAAGAAAAGAAGTAGGACGTGTAAACTCAAAGGGGACGCTGGGCCTTTGTAAAAGCATCTTGTTTTTCTACAGAAACTAACACTTAACCCCAGTCGAGGGTGTTGGTTAGATGTCCGTGTGGGACGTTTAAGTTTGTAGATGGACAAACGTGCAAAACTTCAAAATTCCACTAATTTTTCTGAAAAGCAGAAACCTGCCAATTTGAGTGCCTGTCAAAGCTCATTCTTACAAACTTTCCAGCTTTGCAGACATCACATTCAGCCCAATCTGAGTCCGAAGGCACGAATGAATCTTGCTGAAAAACTGTCAAAAAACATTACAGTAACTGTTTGTGAAAAACAGCATGCAAATTCAGCGGACAGTATGGGTTCTGCCCAAATGCCTAAAACCATTATCCAGTACGCTCCCATCACATTTGTGCAATCAAATTATCAGCCGGCGAGGTCTGATAGTGCAGCTCGGAAACAGAGACCATGATGTGATGAAGCAGCAAAATGAAGAAAAGATGGAGGAGAAAGGAATATCATGAGATAGGTCAGGAAATGTGATTATGCAACATGCAGTCCTGTCGGAGAGAGTGGAAGAGAATGCAGTGTATACAGTGCAGTGTATGCCACGGGAAAGTATGACTCACTTGTGAATATAAGCTGGCTACTATATGTTTCTGTCTGAGCTCTGTGTGGGCAGGCTGCAGCTTTTAGCAGCATTGTGGCTCAAGGGATGTCAATCTTTGGTCTGTCTACCACTTTGGTCCAGGTAGAGATATCTCACTAACGTATGGATTGACTCAACATTTTTGTACAAACGTCCGTGCACTCAGGAGTCTCCGCTCACTTTAGTCATCCTCTTACTCAGCTCAAAGTTGTGGCAACAAAGTGTATTTTAAGCCTACTATAACATCCTGTTTTGATCCCACTCGTGTTGTGTAAAGGTTGACTCACTACACGGCTGGCTATACACCGAACGCTATAAGTGGCAACATAAAGCACCGGGGACAGCTGGCGAGCTGAAGAACACACATATGAATTTGTAGGATAATGCGTGGTGATTTTGCATTAACAGTGCCAATAGATTCTGTCACTCTGCTTGACCAGTGCTAGATATGGGAGCAAGGGAGGGCGGGGAGGGGGGTAAAGAAGAGATGGGAGGGAGAAGATGGCACTGGAGGACCTGTCTAGTCATTCGCAGAACATAAAATTGGGCCACTCAGGCTGTAAACATTGATCCGCTGGGGAAATCCAGAAAACAAAAGCAAATGGAAGCAATAAAATTTGCTATGCAGCGGGTGGGGGAGGGCAGACACAGGAGGCGTCTCACTGCGTCAAAGGTAATGCAAAGGAGTTTGGCAAACGGGTGGGGTGGGGGGACACAATAACACAAAGGAGATGAAGTTTCCATTTTTCCACTGCCGCCCCCACCTCCCCTCTATTTTTCCTATGCTGTAGCAAATTTACAAGATCTGGCTGGGCTACATAAGCTTCATCACATCACCTAATCTAAACAGCAAAAAAGGTCAAAACTGTTTGTTGTGTATTTCTTCTGCTCAGCAGTAACCCTGACTTTCATCCCTTTTGTATGTCGTTTGTGTAAGAGCCGGGCATCAAATTTCAAGATTGCTTTTTACATAAAGATGATGTCACTCAGGAGAGGACGCTAACACAAGCCAATACAGGAGGAGGAGGATGAGGAGGAGGGTGGCAGCCAGAGAAAAGTCACTTTGGTGGTAAGTTCCTGAGCTACTTCGTCTTTTAAAATAGAAAATGTGGTGGGGCAGTGAAACAGCGGGAGCGAGAGGGCCTTGCATGCGAGCCGCACACTCCCAGAAGAATTCAATATTCAGATGGAAATGTACAGTAACAGGACGCTTCTCTTTGGAAGACGTCTGAGGTTAACCTTTGTTTTTTCTTTTGCTTATGCAAAAAAAAAAAAAAGATAGTAGCAGGGTAGAGTTTCAGGTTGTGAATGGATGTGAGTGGGGACTGGCTGGGACGAAACCACAGGCTATGAGTCTGGATAAGCACAAGCAATCTGCCAGGTCAACTTCCCATTTTCCTCCTTCACTGTTTTGAAATCATCTTAAAGATGCTCTGTAGAGCCAATTTAAGTGTGTGAATGAAAGGAAAAGGAAACTGGATAAAAAGGAAATTACTAAAAGAGTTTATCCTGACTGAGAACTCTCCTTGATCTTTTGTAGTAAAAGTTTAGAGCAGGAGGGGTTTTAAGAGCATTTAAACCTAATTAAAAAGTGATTATACACAGTAGTTCTATATATGTTTGCAAGGCATGTGTGTGTGTGTGTGTGTGTGCGTGCACAGGTATCACTGGGCGGCATACCAGACAATTTAGATGCCGAGTCAAAGGTAATGTAGTAAAAGCAATTCACAAGATAAAATGTGCAAGCGAGAAATGGAGCCTCAAGGAAGCCTGAAAAGCAAAACACATTAATAATGAATTATTGCAAGAAAACGATCACATTTACTGTCCTTATTCTCTCGATGTGTGGTTTAATGGCTTCTCAACATGAGTTTGTTTCATGAAACAGAAACACGAGGCCAGAGTTTAGAGCTGATGGAGTTTCGTGTGTTTCTCTTAAATCTCATTCCCTCTCATGAGCAACTCCAATCCCCTCTTTGTTTGTCTAACCCGAAACCTTCTCTCCCCCGTGTTCTGTAATCCCCTGACTGCAGTCACACTTTGATTAGCTGGAGGCGTTTTCTGCTGAGTCGAGCTGTTCCCCGCTAATAACACTGAAAGCTAGCGGATGTGTATGTCGCTGCGTAGCCTGGTTACCCCAAACACAAACTGACATAAGCAGCATGCATGGCCATTAAAGGAGCTTAACGTTCGGGGGAAATGTTCAGCAAGTTGGACGAGGATATGTGTGCTAAATGTCAATCTATACTCCTTAGTTTAACTTAACAGGAGAAACAGTTAATGCTGTTCAGTCCAAAGTTAGCAGAACCCGCCTGCTAGCGTCGTTAAAGGTTACCAATCCAATCAACTTCTTTGAAACAAAGTTCTGCTTGTTATTACTTTTCAGTTTTTTATAATACTCCACATCATTCACATTTAACTCTAGAATACTAGTATACAGAGTTAATGCTGACTGCAAGGTGACTAGGTCCTGTGGCTGCACACTAAGCCTAAATCCTCACCACTCTTCCACCGTGCTTGACAGTTGGAATGAGTTCCAATTTGATTTGTTTTTCACCAAATGTGCCACTGTGCATTAAACCAAACACCCCTCCACCTGTCCAAAGGAGATTTTTGCAGAATTCTCAAGATTTGTTTAGGTGCAACTTTGCAAACTTAAGCCATGCTTACGCATTCTTTTTAGAGAGAAGAGGCTTTCTCTTACCAACCCTTCCAAACAAGTCATACTTTTCCAGCGTTTTTCTAATCGTACAATCATGAACTTTAACATTTAACATGCCAACTGAGGCCTGTAGAGTCTGAGATGTAGCTCTTGGGTTTTTTTGTAGTTTCTCTGAGAATTGCACAGTCTGACCTTGGGGTGAATTTGCTCCTGGGAAGGCTGGCAAGTGTGTGGAATATTTTCCACTCTTAAATAATCGTTCTCACTGTAGGATGATGGACAACTTGTGTGGAAATGGCTTTATAACCCTTCCCAGATTGATGACAGCAACAATTGCCTCTTTGAGATCAGAGCTAATGTCCTTCCTCCTCGCCATTTCGTTAACACACACACTTGCATGCTCGAGACCAGCAAAACTGCCAAAACGTTCCCTTTTAGAGAGGTGCTCACACTTGCTGATGATGAATAAATCAAATGCATTTGATTAGCAGCACCCGGCTGCTAATTACCCTCTTAACTCCTTTAGAAGCAATGAAGGTGTAGATAAATTTTTATGCACAGCATGTGCATTTGAACTTTTACTAATTAAATAACTACACAGTGCAATATGGCATCTGTAGTTGTTCATCTGAGGTTGAATTTTACTTTATTTTAAAAGCCACATAATTTTTGTTCTTATCTCCTGATATTTAAAACGACTGATTGACTATACAAGCCGTATTTCTCTTCTGTCATCATGGACATGGGAGATGGATGAGCAAAATCTCCACGCCCCACCACTATCTGGTGGATACATCACTGCTGCTATTACCAACAAACAGTGCTATGTTGATCACACTGCTGTGAAGGCACAGACTCTGAACTGTTAGTGGCAGGGCTTTGCCTAGGCTAGATAGCCAAGGAATTTTCATATACCAAATTCCCCCCTCAGGCAACTGCATGTGATGTCCTCCACTCTCTGAATTCTTGTATAAAAGAATTCTCACTCTTGTGTATTTGAGGAAGTGATATGAACAATTTCCCAATGCTGGGATAAGCCAATTTGTTTTTTGTAATAGCGTTACAGCAAAACAGAAATTTCCTTTAATGTATATGTAATTGCTTCACTCCAGCCACCCAATATTGTCTTTTTCTTTACAATAAACATGAAGACAGCAGTCTTACTTTTCATCCATGCTGGCAGAGTTTCGGGATGTGAACGGGACAATCTCATTGCCGGACATCTCCTTGTCTTCCACAGCGCCATTTGCTCTGATGAAGGGGTCTAGGTCATTGTTGGCTGAGGCTGGTGGTTTGATGTCGCTCTCCATGTTAAGCAGATTGAGGTAGGACTCGGCACAGCCCACCTGGGTGGGAGACAGGGGCGAGGTTTCGAACAGCCGTGAGGGCGTGGAGGTGATGAGGTGGTCCAGGGTCTGACTGTAGTGATTCTTCAGATTTAAGGACAGGGACTTTGCTGATGCTGAAACTAAGCCACCTGATGACTGCTGGCCATCTGAGAAAAACAGAAAAAATGGGAGACAAATCAACAAGAGGTATAATGACACGAGTCACCTGTAACCAGCATGCAGACTTTTTAGAATAGTTTGTTAAGATTTCTAACTCTCATTATAGAAAAAGATCTGGTTGTGCACTGATCTCAGACCAGCCGCACCTGAGGTCAGCAAGATTTTCTCTAAGCCAACACAACTAATATAGAGACTGACAGCTCTGCCTCTAGTTAGTTTACCCATTCTTTTAGCTGAAAAAGAACAAAGAATAAAGGTGTTTTCATCACCTTCTCACTGAGAAGTAAGATATTGCTGAGGGGAAGTGTTTTTAATCCACTGCGCACAGTATGATTTATGCCACTGTGCGTTACACGGGAATGCGTGGGGGGGGGATAACACAGTATGGGGTTGATGCATGGTTCTCGATTTTAATTTTCAAGCCTGTATAAAAGCGCAGTAGTCCTTTCAACGTAAAATGTCATCTGTCGGGCTGGCAGCCACACACTCCTTTTCAGTTTGGTTAAATTTCTCCAGGCTGAATTGCTCGATAGTTTATGCTGAAATTTCATCTTCCATCACCACAAGCACAGATGACAATGCTGGCAGGCGCGGGAAATCGGTGAGTGAGCGTGGCTTGTGTCGTGACTTTCATCCACAGGCCGAAAAAAAAAGGAGTGAGCAATCAAGACCGCAGCACATAGACAACCTGACCTGACAACAAATTACTCAAAACGCAACATGCTGTTCTCAGCAGTCACCCCTCCAGTTGCCTACCGTGTCCATTAGCTTGCAGCTCCTGTTGCGGCTGCCCTGGGTGTGTTGCTTTCAGGGCGCGGGCCTCCAGCTCTTTCAGCTGCTGCACGAGCAGGGTCAGGTGTTGCAGCAAATCCCTGTTCTGCAGCAGCAGCTGGTGGACGCGGGCCTGAGCCTCGATACGAGCGGCGGTCTCTGCTGCCATCTGATCTTTCAGCAGCTGTACCTGGAGAGAGAACAAAGGCCGAGGTGTGTTTTGTTTGAGTGGGAACATTTTTGACCTGAGCGTGCAAAATGGAAACATAAACAGTGTTCTTATACATCGCACCCGGCATAAGCTCCAGAATTTTGCGGAGACAAATTTAGATTTACGTTACTTTCTATATTTATAATAACTAGACTGCAATGGGAAGTGCTGACATTCTGGCTGTTTGGGTCTAAGACTGACTAAGTGGTTGGTGCAGAAGACTTACTGCATTCAAATGTTTTGTTATCATCATTTGTGTGTCTATGTTTCAGCCCAGGCAGTGAGATATTAAGCTGCAATAACCGTCCTTCCATTACTGTGTCAGTTCTGCCCTCTAGTGGGACAACATTAATATGAGAAACACAGAGAAGCAGGTAATAAACTGTTTGTTGCTGTTTTCTCATTATGCAAATTCGGAATGTGCTCTGGGGTGAAGCAGAGAAAAGTCTACCTTATTTTTGTGCATTATCCATGTACGTTTCTAAATAGGCCAAAGGAAGTTTAGTCATTTTTGCCATTAGGAAAATTCACAGCATGAGCCAGGATCAACCTAAAAAGTTACTGGCAATAGCAAAAATCATTTATTTTAATTCTGAGTAATGAAATGCCATCTTTAAAGTGCCTCTAATAATCTGAAATCCTGCTGGTAGAAGATGATAATAAAAAACATAAAAGAATATTTTTTAAATGTTAGTTATTTATGAAGTGTGAATAGAGACATTTACCACTTAATATCTGACGTGCAGCTAAGTCCAGTTACAGTGAATCTCATCATAAAGCTCTGAATCTGTATTTTTATTACATGTACAGCAGAGGATTAAAAAGTATTCTGTACTTTGGGATTTTTGTGTGTGTGTCTAATGCTGTACACCCTGTAAGACTGTGTGTATATGATTCTTACCTGAGCAACAGCCACGTGTGTGTGCTGCTGCTGCTGCTGCAGCTGCTGCTGAAGAAGCTGCAGGTAGTGCTGTGATGCCAGCGGAGTAATAGAAGGAGAGCAAGGGCTGCTGGGAGTAATGCCTTGGGATGTCACAGTGAAGAGGGACCTTCGATCGAAGTCCTAACCCCAGACAAACAACACGGAGAGAAAAAAACACACTTATTGATGAAAACAGGCTGGCTTGGGACGAAGGTATGAGGTTCGAGCCTTCAGAACCCACGGAGCTGCTAGCTGCATGTCCTAGCTGCATAACATGACCTATTTATAGACCTTGGACAGATTAATGCAATTACCATACTAGCGGGATATAGACTTTCCTGTTCTGTCCCCAAGACCAAGATAGTCATCCACTGAGCTCCCGAGGGGCCCCTGCTGTAATGCCACTTCTATAAGCTATATGCCCATTACCATATGATCTTCTCGTTTCCTTCCATCCTGCCTCCATCTGTCCTGTAACACATTTTTAACGATTTTCCAGATGATCTCTGGTAGCATAAAAATTTCCTGGCGATATAGGGCATTCCTTAAGCAGCTTTTCACTTCCCCTCCTGCCTTGCACAGTAAGAAGGGCAGATAGGTTGTGGGTTTCTGCATCTGGGGTATTTGCAGTCATCAAGAAATGGAGGTTGTGTGTGTGTCTGTATGTGTGGTGATGGTTTCATGACAGAACATACATATAAAACATATAAAACATAAGATTTATATGTGTATAATTACACCACTTATTATTACTAAAATGAAATGAAATGAAAAGAAAATGCCACATCTCACCACTAGAGGGCAGGCAGAACACTGTAATGTACTTTCAAGTTCAGGCAGTTTTTTATGAGAGGCAGCTCACTGGCATTACATTAAAGATGAGGTTTTAGCTCTAATGTATCAATGTATCTAATGTTGCTCTCACAGGGTCTGACACTGACACATAGCAAGTCTGCTTTACCACATTTTTAATCAACTATGAGCAACATACTATAGTGATCATAACTTTATGAACACACCATTTTGTTCATTTTACACAAGAGCTTTTTTCCATTTTAGTCTCTAACATCCTTGCTATTTTTGAAGTTGATGGGAATTAATAAAAACAATGTCACATGCTTCAAGCCACCACTGGGATAGGCTATGGCCGGCACCTTAGTAACCAGTAACCAACAAAATGCACAACAAAAAATACATTTTGTTTACAGTCTGTTTTTTTGGCTAATTAAAATTTGAATCATCATAGTTAACACGGGACACGGGAAGTTAGCTAGCTAGAGCTAGAGCGCATCACCTTTGCAACTCTTTTGTTCAAATAGAGGCAAACAAGCAAACCAAAAAACAAGATGGCGACATAAGGCCCTGGTTTCACAGACTCAGAGGAAAAACATATCAAATGGTAAGAGGCTGATGGCAGACACTGTGAAACTGATTGCTAAAACTCTATTTGCATAGGCCTACAACCAGTCAGTGACCCATCCCCTGCCAGTAGGCAAACAGTTGCTGGAAGCTGTTGGTGCTTGGTAGATGAAATTGGTTTCAAAGAGGTACAAAGTGCTGTGCTGAAAAATTCTCTGTGATATCTTTGGTTGTTTGGTAGCTGTTTGCCGCAGTTACCCATGGTTTGGATGTAAGTTTGCATGTCTACAAACACTTGCTAACTGCTCTACGAGCGGATACTGGTAAAAGTGCAACACAAACTAGAAATGGAAAACGTTGGCCTTGAAAGTAAAAGCTGGGCACAACTTTTACTCTGAAGAGGTTTGTGTCAAACAGCGTGGGTTTTACTACCGTCTGCAGACAAGCTTTCTTTCATATGAACTACAGGCAACAAAGTGTTAGCAACCACAAAGAGCTTTTTAATCCAGTGCCCCCTTTATAAGCAATTTCAAAGCAATAGCCAGGAACCACTCTCAAACCAGTTGGGGAATACACATTTTTCACCAGTGACCAGAGGTTGTCAGAGGGTCCCTGACTCGTCTCTAGGCCTGTGTGACTGAGGCATAAGATGACAAACTATAAGTAAAATGGTAGTCTGCAAATCAGTAGGTGATCACAGTGGCCATGTCCATCTTTTATATACAGCCTATTGGGCAACAAATGTTCACTTACTTAAGAATTCTAGTTAAGGAAGACTTTTTTAAGGTAATAACATTTTAAATGTACATTATTAGCTTAAAAAAAGTTATGAAAAAGCTTCAAACTGATGAAAATCAGTGTTAGTAGTTGTCTAACAAAAAATACACTCCCAAAAACAAGCTGATTTAACACTTCAGATGGTGTCAGGGGCATTTCTGTTCATTTCTTTCCCACCCTTGTGGTGAGTGTTATCATCCTGGCATTCAAATACAGCCAGTCCCTTTGTCAGCTTTACTTTACGTCTTTCCTGATATCCAATATCTCTCATTATTCCTTCCCTCATCTATTTTTTTACTAGCTGCTCACTCTCTCTTATTCCCTCCTTGCTTATCTTCATGGTGCAGATGTTGGTGAACCCCTCAATGGGATTACGGTGGCGTTTCTCAGAAAATCAAAGGGAACACGCTGGGTTTTTGGGATTAAGTGTCGCCCGTACCCAGCCAGCAAAAATATTCAGGTTCCTTGCTCCTATTGCACTCTCCCTCTTTTAGTAGCATGATAACAACTGTGCCTGCCACACTTGGTCCTGGTGACAAATCCAAAAGCAAGACATCAGAACACACCAAAGCCTTTGCATCTTTTCCTCCTATTGCTCTCAAAACCATAAAGAAAGATCATTGTCAGCTTTTAATTTCACAGGGATTCAAGCTCTGCCACATGTTAAACACAATCTAACCAAAATCTATTATTTCCCACCTCATGCAAGAGTTATCAGGTTATTTTATGTCTACAATAGGCTGCCAAATAGCATCTTTTATTAGTCATGAAGAGCTGCAGTCAGTGATGTGGTCAGGTACTGCAGTAGATGAGAAAGCACTATACTGTACTTACTTAGTTCAATGAGCCATTTGGCAGTGATATGCCTAGATTATAGTATCAAAACACCACTAGAGCCAAAGCAATGAATCAGAGTTGATGCCCTGCAGCTACAAAGGTAGAAGCCGTTTGATGCAAAAATGAAAGTCATCATTACAGTGTGAAAGCTCCTGCCTCACCCCTACAGCCAGTGTCAGAAATAAAACAGGAGCTTCCACATGGAAAATGTGGTGGAAATATATACTCCCGTATAAAACACGGGCATTTATAGTACAAGTTTGTGAATGTGAAACTGCAGTGTAAGGGAATTTTGCATGTCAAGTTTAATAAAAGAGTTAGTACGCTTTCATAGAAGTACTTGGGAAATAGTCCCTGTACTCTCCGTAAGTAAGACCTGGCTTGTGCTGCTTCTTTGTGTGATTTTTCAAAACAAACAGACTTTTTGTTATAACTGAGATTGTGCTTATGAATGATGCCAATTAAGGCAGTTTTTTTTTTAGCTTGTTTCTCATTGTCGCATTAAATTGAAAGGGGAATTTTTAATCAGAGTACAGCATCAAGTCGGTTAATTTGTGGGATATGGATCAGGTGAGTTAGGGGGGTGTTGATCAGTTTCAGCTGCTTTGGTGTTAATGAAATTATCGACAGAGGGGGAACAATGGGACACAAAACAGAAATGGTTTTGTATTCAATTCAATTCAATTTTATTTATATAGCGCCAAATCACAACAGCAGTCGCCTCAAGGCGCTTTATATTGTTGACTGTTTTGTAGGTGGAGGCCATTGAAATGGTAGCATGAGTCTAACTCCTCCAGGATTCAACATCAACACGTGCCATTGCCAAAAGGTTTGCTGTCCCCCAGCACGGTCTCAATAGCATGGAGGAGATTCCTGGAGACAGACAATTACTGTAGTAGAGCTGGACAGCGCTGTAGAAGGTCCTTAACCCATCAGCAGGACAGGTATCTGCTCCTTTGTGTAAGGAGTAAAAGGATGAGAACTGCCAGAGCTACAAAATGACAACCAGCATGAATGTCTTTGACCAAACAATCAGAAATAGTATTCACGAGAGTGACCTGAGGGCCTGTCATCCTCTAGTGGGCCCTGTGTTCACTGCCTGACACCATGGAGCCCGACTGGCAGTTGTCATGAAATATCAGAATTGGAGCTAAAACTAGTGCCCTGTGCTTTTCATAGAGGGCAGCAGGTTCACCCAGAGTACATGTGACAAACATGAAAGGGTCTGGATAAGCCATGGAGAACGTTATGTTATCTGCCTGACTGGTTTGGTGGTGGGTCAGTGATGCTCTGAGGAGGCATATCTATGGAGGGATGCATACACCGCTACAGACTAAGTAACGGCACCCTGACTGTCATTAGGTATTGGGATACAATCCTTGGATCCATCATGAGATGGTGCTGTGTTGGTGCAATGAGTTCTGGGCTCCACCTGACAATGCTGGGCTTCATGTGGCAAAAATATGCACGTTTCTGGAGGATGAAGGAACCGATACCATCGACTGGCTCCCATGCTCATCTTACCTTACCTCCGATAAAACAACAAAAACTGCCTCTCTACGGTAATCAAATGAATGTATGCGTCCACTTATTGCAGTAGACTGTATGTGAACGAGGCTGTTCGGCTGGAATTTATTTCATTCTCTTAATGCTGGAAATGGGAAATAAACCCTTCCAGCTCTAACGTGTTGTCCAAATGTAATCGTGTGAGTTTGAAAAATAAATAAGATGGTGACATACAAAATGTTACCATAACTTCTGTGTGCAATACAGAGTAAGACTGATGGCTTTTCAGAAAGGGAAATATATCATAAAATAAAAACCTGTGTATTAGGTGAAATATCCTGAGCTTCATGAATAATAAAACAACATGTTTCTGTATGTTCATGTACCTGATATGTCAAACCTGTTCCAGCTTTGTCTTACAGTATCTTACCATGATGGTCTGTCCAGGCTTGACGACGTTGAGTTCAGCCAAGCTCTGGAGAATTTCGCTCACTGCCTTCTCACACAGAGAGCTGCCAGCTGCAGGATCTTCTCCTCCTCGCCGTCCCTCATGTTTGCTGTCCTGCTCATCTTCCCCTCGCTCTGCCCCCGTCAGTGTGCGACCTGTAGAGGAATACACAAAAATGTCCACATCTGGTACATGCTAGCTGTTCTCTCACATGTCCAACTTAAAGAGTAATTTACTGAACAAGCGCCTATCAAACAAACACGGCCCAAATTTATATAACTCAATAATAATGCTATTTCAAGCACACACATCATGAATAGCTCTCTTATGTCAGATAACATTTCAGTCACTTTGAAAATTACCCTCATTACATGCAACACTGGCAATCACCCAGTTTTTTTTTCTCCAGTACCCTGAAAGCTGTAATCATGGGAATCTTTCCCACTGCTTCCCCCATCCTACCTACACAAACTGTACTCAGCACGAGGCCTTGGAAAACACTCAAACACTACATATTATCTTAAAGTTGTTCCTTAGATTCATTTACATCCCGGTGTAACCAGTCATGTGCCTGTTACCATTCAATCACCGTTCTAAATGAATCGGATGGTGAGATTTGACAGTTCAATTTATGCCATGAAAAAGCATGTAATCAGACTGAAGAAAGGCAAAGTCAAACCTAAGTGACCAATGTCGCTCATAAATACTCACTTTTCCAGTGTTCACCAAATTTAACGTGGAATGGTTTCTTATTTTTAAGCTTGCCTTTAAAAAAATCTATGTTCTTTAAAGTCCTTAAAAACATACACTGTAGTCCACAATATACACAAACAGACATGTGTCCAGAAAATCCTAAGCACTAATGCTGATTATGCTGGAAATCTCCTGATTTTTCATGTCACCCAGCTTTGGTTTATGACCAGAAACTTGCCAAACTGATGACTTTCCCGACCTTCCTCTACTTTTATGTATATATCAACATCTCCATCTCAATCAAGTGTAACCTTAAGTAAAACCGTAATAATATTTTCAGTTTTCTCTTGATGTTTTTATGGAAATTTTGCACCAACTGTATATTATAGCATTTAGATCAGATGCAATAGGGCAAGCGCGGGGTACACCCTGGACAGGTCGCCAATCTGGTGCAGGGCTAACACAGAGAGAGACAACTATTAGTACTCACCTGTAGCCCTATGGGCAATTTAGAATCATCAGTTAACCTAACCTCACTAACTGCATGTCTTGGGAGGAAGCCGGAGTGCTCTGAGATAACCCAAACACAGAGTGTCCATGGCCATTTGAGCCCAGGAACATCTTGCTGTGAGGTAACAGTGCTGCTCCATTTTAATGTCATATTTATTATAATAAATAAATAAACGTGTAGATAGTAAGCTGAATTAGAACTGACAGAATCACAAAAATTGGTAAATCTCATCATGTTGTCCTCACCGTGGCTGCTGGGCTCCTCTGTTGACTTGTCACTTTCTCCGTCAGCCTGCCCGTCAGCGTCCTGCTCGGCGTGCTGCAGGCTGAGCTTGTGGCACACCTCAAACGCCTGACCTACTGTTCGCACGATACGCATGGCCTGTGTCTGCCACAGAAAAGAGGAACATTGTGATAGAAATCAATGCTTAGAGCAGAAGTACAGCACAATAAGTCAGTTACACTGATCAGCCTAATACGAGTTTTAAATATGAACTATTAGTAATTTTGACATTTTATGAATTGGACAAAAACAAAATCCCCTTTGTGGCACAATTTTCATGACTGATGTAAAAACTAGAGCAGCAGTAACTTGCAAAAAACTGCGGACATATAAAAAGAACCTAAAATGGGGAAAGGTAAAGAGATCCTCGTCTCAAATATGCAGCTGTAATCTTTGTCCTTGAGTGCATCTGTTCTGTATTCACAGCATGCTGTGGATCTGGTAAGCCACCGAATATTAAATAAGCCACTACAAATTGAATCTTAAATCAAATTTAAAACCAAATATCGAATAACAGAGCTGATATCATCAGAATGAAAACAGCAAAGTGAAAATCACAGAATACTAAACTACCAGACCTGATGTCTTCTGCACAGTGTTTTCTTTCTTCTGCCTCTAAAGGCGGCTATGCCCCTGTAACCAAGCTCTGCTGGCCCTAACTTCAAATGGCTGTAACTATCATAGTGGACATAGCGGAGATCCATAATAAGCTTTTCATGAGTCTGGTTAGAAGACGTGTGAGCCAGTCAAACTGTACCTTCTTCTTTGACTTGAAGACGTTGCATCTGAAGGAATTACTGGAGCCATCTCTTGCAATGTAGCTGAAGATCTTTAAGTCCTGGGAGTCATGTGATACGTAGAAAATCCTGAAAACACGACAGCTGATTTAAAAAAACTCTCTTGCCTTTTAATATTAGGCATTTGTATCTAATAGCAAATAAATGAGTAGAGCCCCACTGATTTAGCAGCGCCAGGATATTTGCCTTTTCCTTATCTGCAAATAATTCAGTATTGGCGTTTATTATGGCTGAAAAAAAAAGACAGGAGAAACACCGTTCAACTACTTTGTCTGTGTTGATGTTGCATAGTTTGTCCACCGGAGGGCACTTTGCAACTTCCCCACTGGCGACGTGTGTTTGGATTGTCACAAACAATCAGCAGAGCCAGGCAGAGCATAAATAAGTTAATAAATTAATTAATAAATAACTACACATAACAACTGAAAGGGACTTTTTTTTTTCTAAAAGAAAAAAATATTAGTGGCTTTAACGTGATCGCAGAACATTGGCTTTGTTATCGGTCTTAAAATCCTATATCATGAGGGTGTGGAGCCATTAATGAAGCACAAATAATTCACCTTCTTCAGAATCAAGTAAAAGAGCAATACTGTGCTCAAAGTGCTTTTTCAAAGACACCTGCTACTGTAGTACACTACTGTGGCTTATACTGTATAGACATTATGTCGTGGTTGATACTACACTACTGCCAGTACAGTAAACTGGCACAGGTCAATGTTTCATCTGTTTCTAGCTCCTCTACTGTCAAATGTCTCCACTGGGAAGCAGGCAAACAAATTATAACGACCTACTGCTCAAAAAGCACACTTACACACACAGAAAGGATAATTACATTGAACATCACTAAGACCCTTGGTGAGGTGTGGTTCTGCCAAATGAGATCCTCCCACAGATTTATCCATAATTTACATCAACTTGCACACAAATCTCTGACTGCACACAAACCTTACTCCTACTAGCATCTGATATGCAGTACAATTTTGACACGTTACAGTTAAAACGCTTGGGAGCAGGTGACATCTTCACCTTGTCAACTGGTGACTGTTTGACTAAAAAAAAATTAAACAATGACAGAAACATGCTTCACTAACTACAGTGCATGCATAAGCTGTCCCCTATTTATTATGAATGTAGGCCTCGTTTTCCATATATAGCCACCCATTATGTATAGCAACGTACACGTGAGGACATGTAAAGCATGCAAAAGCTACATCCACTGGGCCCGCAGTAAAGGACAAAATATCCACTTAGAGGGGTACACTGTATAACCTGTAGTCTACTCAAAGCAATTACTTTGGGTAAGGCATACATCAAGATGCAGAGAGCAAAGAACAGACTGTGCTGAATATCAGGCAGCTTTATCCTCTGAGTCTATAACCGAAAAAGGGAAGATGAGATGTTATTGCTTGTTTATATATGAAGATATGAACTTGTTTCGAGAGGTGCACTGACCTGTATATTGGATCGTGCATGATCAGCATTTTGCTCTCATCCCATGTCCATTCCTTTCTCTGTGAATGAAAAGAAAGAGCTTATATCTCAGTTCTAATATTCTCGTGGTGGTGGTTCATTTCTGAATCCAGGAGAAAACGGTCATTTTGGATTCTGGTAGCTTGCCTTCTGTTTCTTCCTTAGCATCACCTTGACCCCGTCCACAGACACCACGATGCTGACCTTTTTCTTCTTGATGTTCTTGGCCTTGAATTCGTACTGGGAAAGTAAATGAAAAAAAAGTAGATCGGAATATTAATCATGCATACATAAAGAGCATCTTATCTTTTCTGCAGGATAGAAATGTGACTGCTGCAGTAGTGGAGCTTTAACTAAGTAAGAATTAGACTGCACAATAGTGAATGATCATAGAAAATAAGTCTTCTATAGCAATTTCCTAATTCCATCTGTTTGCTTGCAGATGATTATCTGAAGACACGTGCAGGATGAAATCAGATACCTTTGGAAAAATGCTTAGAAACTACATTCACCGGTCACTTTTTACATACACCTGTTCAGCTGCTCATTAATGCATCTACCGAATCAGTCAATCACGTGCTCAAACCCAACACTGAACGTGATTAGAGGGATTTTGGTTGCTGTATTTCACTTAAAATTCACTCTGACATTGTGTTTCATACTTGTTATACAGTCGCATCGCACACATATACCAACAACTCCAGTTCTTCACTGCAGTGAGAGATGTCTTGCTTTGGCAGGGTGGCAGCATTAAGAGAACAATCTATCAGCATTAAAACAAAAACAGCAGTGCACTTTAATTTATCAGCATTTTTAATGGCTTGGCAGTTTGCAATAAGAATTCTGATCAAGTCCGATAAACATTTGCAGCCAAGAAAAAAAAACACTTCGCCAAAGCTCTCAGAGACAGACAAAACAGCCCCTCAGCTGCAATGCAAGTCGAGTACATCGAGTATCGTGTTATAAAGACTGTGGCCTTGCAGAGCTGAACCACATCTCTTCTTGGAACACAAACTATCCTACTAAATTAAACAACATTTAAGTACAAGGCCTTGGGTATGGGTTTGTCTCCATTCTGTTAGCTGAGAAGTACACAACAGCTGTGTCTGCACAGAGTGACTAACACATTTCCACCTCATCAGCTGGCCAGGCACTCTGCCGAGGAAATTAGCAAGTCTGGCCTGTCGACTCAGATCAGTTATAAATAAGAAGCAACTCTTGTGAGCTACCAGCTATAATGGCTTACAGTGAGGCCGCAGGAAACATCCATCTTTCATGTCCCAAAATGCCTATATTTTGTGGACTATATTTGGTAACATATGCCTGCAATATGAGATGAAATTCAGCTGCAGAGGGGAAATGTTGAGACCTTACTATCTAGAACAGGGGTGGGCAATTCCAGGCCTCGAGGGCCGGTGTCCTGCAGGTTTTAGATCTCACCTTGGGTCAACACACCTGAATCACATGATTAGTTCGTTACCAGGCCTCTGGAGAACTTCAGGACATGTTGAGGAGCTAATTTAGCCATTTAAATCAGCTGTGTTGGTTCAAGGACACATCTAAAACCTGCAGGAACACCAGCCCTCGAGGCCTGGAGTTGATTGGAGTTGAACATGATTGTGATTAGCATAGAAAACTCAACTCAGCTCAACTTAAACAACTTCCACAGCACCCCTTCCTCGATTTTAATATAAAAAAAGCCTTCAGCATCATTGAAGTTGCTTATCTAGTTGTACCAAAACCAAAGTACAAAAAATAAACACTTTCCCCCCAGTTATACAGTTATTTTATTATGTGTATATGTACATATATATACACACACACACACACTTTTTTTTTACATTTTTCACACAATTCCAAATAATTCAACTAAATATGTGTTAAACATGTGGGGCGATCGTGGCTCAAGAGTTGGGAGTTCGCCTTGTAATCGGAAGGTTGCCGGTTCGAGCCCCGGCTTGGACAGTCTCGATCGTTGTGTCCTTGGGCAAGACACTTCACTCGTTGCCTACTGGTGGTGGTCAGAGGGCCCGGTGGCGCCAGTGTCCGGCAGCCTCGCCTCTGTCAGTGCGCCCCAGGGTGGCTGTGGCTACAATGTAGCTTGCCATCACCAGTGTGTGAATGGGTGGATGACTGGATATGTAAAGCGCTTTGGGGTCCTTAGGGACTAGTAAAAGCGCTATATAAATACAGGCCATTTACCATTTAAACCTGCAATGCGCTGTGGTCACTTTTATGGTACCAATTGTTTGGTACTACCTCAATACCCAATTCAGTAAGGCTAAAAAAAAATAATCCTGTGTACTTAAACTTTATTAAAATGTAATTGACAATATTATAAGATCATTTTAAAGCGCTGACATGGTTTGTTATAGACTGTGTATGTAAAATATTAGCATTCTAGTTTGTTAGCGGAACACAGATTCAAAATGTTAGCTTGATTGGTGAGTAGCCTACTAAAGACTACAAGCCATTACTTTAAGAACTTTATTTAACATTAGTCACTGTAAACATTTTAGCCTGTGGTAAAAAGTTCATTTCACAACAGCAATGCCAGCATTCTCAAAACAAAATATAATGCTTATACGAGGAAAACAGTGCAAAGTACCTCATTACCTGACTTTCTGAACAATGAGTCAGGACAACGCTATTTCAAAAAAAAATAAATAAATAAATTATTACAACAATGGAAATAAACATTTAATTGTGGAAAATTGGAAAGCTGCACATGATGTCTCACTGAAATGAAAAACGCACTAAAAAAACAGAATGCACTGAACAGATTAAGTGGCTTTAAAATGTGGACTCTCTTTTTCTGTATATCTGTAAAACTGATGAAAGGTTTAGATTTGGAAAACTCTGTCCCAATGTTTTCATTAGATTTAATATAATTATAACATAGTGGCAAACACTCAGGTATCCAAATGCAGTAAGATTCATATATTTTCTTCTAAATCTCAGCAAAAAATTTGTCTGACAAAAGTAAATTTTCTATATTATATTGCAAATGTGATTATACTTCAGTTTGTTGAATGAGTAAAAAGAATGGAAGAGAAGAGAATATAAGATGTTGGCATGCAAAATAAATGTGAATAAAAGTATAGAGACAAAGAAGGGTAAGAAGCCTATAAAATGGAAGAGAGAACATAGGAGGAGAGGCGAGCAGATACAAAGAGACAACCGGAAAGGAGGTTAAGAGACAACCGTTGTTAGGTAAGGACCCCCCGGAAATTGTGACCTTTTAATTCAGCTACACAATGGTAGTAAATAGCAATTAGCTGAGCCTTATGAATTCAAGACCTACCAGATATGATTCTGAGTCACATCTGTGTTGTATTTTAACCTTATATATATTCACACTCTGAATGTCTCCAAAGACAGAGTAAATAACTGTTGTGACTCGATGAAGTCATTTTTGTCACCCGTTTCCGTGTTTATGTACTGTCTTTCATGATAATTTTCTGCTTGTGTCTATTTGCCCTGCTCTCTCAGCCCTGGATCCATGGTGATTAAAGTTTCAGTCTCTAATTATACAGAAAGGAGTCCTGAGAGAGCTGATTAAACAGAGAATAGGTCTTTAAAGTGGAAGAGAACAGAGAAATGCACTGCAGAAACAGAAAGAAATTCTAGTCAGGATTCAAAAAAAAGAGTACCGTCACAGCCATAGCAGTGCTTTCAGCTAAATACTAGAATAGAATAGAAATATTCTTTATTGTCCCTCATTGGGGAAATTCACTTTCACGTTCCAGCAACAAAGTGACAGGCAAATGGAGCATGCAAGAAATAATAGACTCTACATGGCAAATTCACCACATGAGAAAAAAAAACTAGCATGCATTCTTGGTGTTTACTGTCATATTTTGGCATCACAAGGCTAGTGTTTGGTCATAAACCAGAATTTAAATCATTTCTTTATTTTTTGAGAGCCACGCTGTGTAAAAAATCACTATCAGCAAGATAGTATACATACAGACTACACTATACAACTACTATGACAATGATTAAAGCAATTTAGCTTACAAGCTAAACATAAGTCCTGAAAGTAACAGAATTAACTTCTGAAAGCTTTTTGGGGCTCCAAGACCAAACAGATTATCTGCAACAGATTTCTAATGTAAGACTGAGGAATACAAAAAACCGAGAGCTAAAAAAAGAGGACTGTCACAGTCATAGAGGTGCTCTGAGCTAAATACTAACATGCAGCAAACTAGCATCAATGGCGTGTCCAGCGGCCACCCCCCCAACCAGACTGGCCACCCCAGGTGCCACCCCATAGGTAAAACAATAAAATTCAATCAAATATCAAATGTCCGATTATGTTTTCACGGTGAAGCTCAGATATCCGAGTGTAAGTGAATGCAGCATCGGCTTCTGCGCTATGTGCATCACGTTAGCAAAGGTAGGAGAGCCAAGCACGAAAGACGGCACTGCAGGAAACAATTTTTCGGTGAAAGAAAATGAGGACAGAATAAATGTCCCGGTAAGTAATATTAAGTTTGTTGAGTTTAGTAAACTTCGGTGAAATTAGAATACCAAGGAAAAAATAACACTTAAAGAATTATTGCAGCCGTCGAATATTTCAGACAGTATGCTACTGAGGGCAGCTAACATAAGAGTTATGAGTTATAAGATATAATCTAAGTCGTAACATTGCTGTATGGAGCTGCAGATTTGGTTGCAGGTTAACATAGCTGGACTGGCCATCGGGCATACCGGGCATATGCCCGGTGACTTATTTTTTATTTATTTTTTGTAATGGCATGAACAATGAGAGGTGGTGGATTGGCCAGATGCAGGTCGATGTGTAAAAATAACTCAGTTGTTTGGTGGTGGCTATGGCGGGGCTTCCACAGAGGCCAGCAGGTGGATGAGGGAAGGGGAGGCAGGAGGAGAGCCCCGAGGCAGCCACCAGTCCGAGTGTCAGGTGAACTGAACTTCAGGTAAGAAGTTATGACCTGCAGTCTATCTGGGTCAGATATAAACCAAGTTTAGGTGGAGTTTATTTTCGTTGTGCTGACTTTTTACCGTCAGTTGCAATAACTCGTACTGCGTTCTAGCCAGCTTGATGGAGTTTTTAGGTGGGTGGGTGCTATGATGTTACTGATAGTGAACTTTATTTTATTCATAAGGTTAGTTAGTAGAGTTGCCAACGGCTCCTTAAAAAAATGGAATGGTCCCTCATTCAGAGAAAATATTACACGTTTCGTATTGAGCTGAGAAGAGACGCAGTTTGTCCCGTA